AATTTATAGCAACAATTTGCAGTGCAATGCCTGTCTCTTATACACATCTAGATGTGTATAAGAGACAGGTTTAGGCCTAAACTCTTCTCTGCAGAATGTGCTTTATTTGCGCTATTGTAACTTGCATTCCATGCCTCCAGGTAAATCACAAGGAGAGCCCAGATAGAATTGAGCAAGGGACGGAAAGGTGTTGACAGATCAGCACACCACAGAGCTAAATTACCCCCCATGCTCTCTTCACTTTAGAGACCAGACTACTATTGCTAATGATCATCATGGTAGACCTAAATATTGATAATTAAATATTACAATTATAATAGTGAAAATAAAATCCTTATTTGCAAATTAATATATAATATATAAATGTGTATATTTTTAATACAATATTAATTACTATTGAATTAATGTTTCCACAGTAATGTTGCTACCATTTACCTGTTTCTGTTCCAAGAGCCATAAGATGTCAAATTTGCTCTGTATTGTTGAGTGCAGTTAAAGTTGATCAAGATGCTAGAAAGGTAGGAGATACCACTATTTAACTCAACAATCAATCAGTTGTGGTCAAGTTATTAACTTTATCATTTTATATCAAACATAATTAATCAGTATTTGGTAATAATTATCATTTCATTTAGTAAAATTGTTAAATTGTATTCCTTCCCAAGTTGTTTGTTTGCTCCACAATTTCAACGTCACCTTGTGACAGTATTTAGCACATATGAATGTTCACATATTCAGCAGGAAAGCATCATTATTGTAAACATCTTGAGGTCCATGTTTTATGATTGACTGAGATGCATCCGATTAGTAGCTTCATGTATCATGCATCTGGCAACTGACCAGTAGCCTCATGTATCATGCAACTGAGCAGTAGCCTCATGTATCATGCAACTGACCAGTAGCCTCATATCATGCATCTGGCAACTGACCAGTAGCCTCATGTATCATGATGCAACCGACCATGCAGATGCAAATATGGTTGAGTCACATAGACCTGAGAATTGACTGTTCTATTATTTTTGAGGGGTATTCTAGCTTAAATACCGTCACTAGTTTTGTTGAGGTATAGACTGCTGGTTTGTGAAGTCTACACTTTTTCTTTATACTTCGTCTAGCATGATGGTCTTTAGGACAGACTCTACCTGTGTCTTTACTACACCGTAACTGACATAATAAAAAAAAATGCATGCCAGTTAACAACAGCATGTCTTAAAACCATTGTAGTACTGTGTACTTCAGTAAAAATCCTACTGTGGCAAAAATAGCCATAATAAATACCCAGAACAGCAGCACAAATCATTCTCAGAATGTTTGACCTTTCACTACTATGAAAATGGTATTACAACTATTATCGAGCAAACATTGCGACAGTCTGTCAACGAATCTATTTCCGCTCTCTGACTGCTGATTGTCTGTGGCAGTTTGAGAAGGATAAGATTAAAAAAAACATTTATTTGACGCACCTCCTCACGCTGGCCGATGACTATCAGTGCAGTGTGTGCCACCTTAATGTATTTCTGTATGGTGTAAAAAATTAAACAAAACTGTAAATTGTAGATTTATCCAGATTTTCTGGCAACTTCTTAAAGTAGAACCCCTGTCAAGGGGACACCTTCGGGACCAGAAAAAGTGTCCCCTTAATAGGGGTGTCCCCTTAATGTTGGTATCACTTCAGGAGACACAAACCAAAATCCAAAATTGTCCCCTTAATAGGAGTTTTTGGCATGTTTTCATACAACCATGACATATATTCTGTATAATTTTATTTTCATTGACATAAGGAATCAGCTAAGTGGAATTAGAACTAATTTATAGCAACAATTTGCAGTGCAATGCACATACAATTAATTTTATAATATGAAATCAGCACAAATATTAAAACAATAGTTTTATATGTTGTTTGGTGCAGCGGGAACAGTATGGTTTTATGTAAATGTAGCCTTGGGATTTTTTAACAGTGATGATAAATTATGTCAAGTTACATATAATTTGTTTAACAAATAATATGTAATCCACCTAATTTTTAGGTTTTCTTTATCTTTAATGGAAAGGCATAGACTTATTTTCCACTATGTGTCTACCTGTGTTGTTGTTATGTGAAATCCTGAAAACATAGCAGAGATTCACTGAAAAATTGTCAAAAGTAGAAAGATTGATTGTTATTTACATGTCGGTTCACCATAAGTAAGAAGGTCGTCCATTCTTGTACCTGTATATTTTTCTTCTAAGAATTACTATGAAGAAGACAGTTGAGACAGATTTTATGCCACCAAAATCCTCCTCATAGCCCTCAGCTAGGCAGAAGCCCCAGGGGGTCAGACACAGGATTAGCAGTAGAGCCACAAACACACCCGGTAAGTTGATAGTAATCCACAAATTGCACTACTTGCACAGCCCACTGTGGTTGCAATGTGGCTTTACACACTACCACTGACTTGGTTCACTTAATAGTACTCCCAGCACTTAGAGAAGTGTTTTAAGATGATTTCACACACAGCCACCTGCTGTAGATAAAGAACCTTTTGATTTTAATCACAGGCAGTGGCGTATGTATCTAGGGGTGTGCGGAGAAGGGTGTCACCCTATTAAAAATGTTTGAAGCAAAAAAAGTCAAGCTCAAGGTATATAAAGATCACCTCATGTCTCCTAATTATTGTGAATTAGCACCT